ATATTGAATATCCCTCATGCAGGAAACCTGTATATTTTACAATAAATTATTCTTGATCTCAATAGGGAGATCTAGTGTATGTTAATTATGCATGAACTGAAGACTTCTTTAAACTGGAGAGGGACATGAAAATCAATTGCTCTGGAAAGATTGTGATTGCCAGATATGGGAAAGTTTTCAGAGGAAATAAGGTAATATCATCTCTTTCCTTTTCCTCCAATATGAAAAGGTATAATGCAATATATCTAAAATCTCCTTGCAACCTTTTGAAGACTATGATCCTCTTACATTCTATAAGTGTCCACCTTACAGGGAGGACATCCTTACTAGCTTATGGGAAGTGGTTTTAAACTGGGCCACTGGAATTGGCCAGTGTTTGGCCAGGATGAGCCAAATAGATTTTTCTGTACTGGCAAGTTACCCTGTGGCCTACATAGGAATGCATACAAGATTCATTGTTTCAGTATTTTTGTTTTAAATATTATGTCTAAAAATATTTACTGAAATAAATTTAATATACATTGTTATTATAGATATTAAGAGAAAATAAAATTCATATAGTAGTTTTTAAATTAATGTCACTTGACTTTTTAAGTTTTAAAAATCTTTTTTTGGAAAATAAAAAATATTCACTTTCAACCACAGAACTGGGAGGAATCTGCCTGAGAAGTCTACTTGCTCTATATACTTCCAGAGCATCAAAAGGAAACACCAAATACTCACTTCCAGTATATGGGTATTTTCCAAACCTGTTCTGAGAACTGATCCATTTTTAGAACCTGAAGTAGAWAAAAGAAAAAGCTACTTCTCTGAGTAAGTTCTTTGTTGTAAGCCTAATGAGAAAGGCTTGAACATAAAGCCCAGTTACTCATTTTGAAAATTGTTACTAGCAAATCTGGGGCAACCAATTAACATAAGACAAGGACACTCTATTTCCTAGGTTAAAAACGCCCAGCTGGCAGTGGCCAAAGCCATTATTCTGTACTCAGACCCCGCAGACTATTTTTCTCCTGGTGTACAGTCCTATCCAGATGGTTGGAATCTTCCTAGAGGTGGTGTCCAGCATGGAAATATTTTAAATCTTAATGGTGCAGGGGACCCTCTCACCCCTGGCTACCCAACAAATGGTGAGTGATAAGGCCTCAGTCATTACAGGACACTTAGCCAAATTTTAAAGTGATTTTATTTAAGGATTTTCTTTGACACAAACAACTGAAAATGAATATGTGTGTGTGTGTGTGTGTGTGTGTCTCTGTGTGTATTTTTATCTAGGAATGAGAAAGTTTCTAAAAATTATTGGTTCAGCTTCCTTATTTATTATTTGAATTCCTTGTGACTAATAGGTTTTGGAATTCAGACTTCCAAATGTTTAAAAAGTAACATGGTCCATATACCATATCATTCATAACACTTACTTGGGTGGCTGGAACAGAACACCAGAAACCAGTATATAAACAATATTTGCATCAAACTGTATGAATGCTGATTCTAAGTGGGGTAAATATAGAATATAAATAGACTCATCTGCTCAAGTGACTTTTGCTATCAAATAAGTTTAGGCTATATAGGTTTTATTGTCAAGTACATTTACCCTAAATTCATAGTTCGCACAGATTTTTTTGTTGTTGTTGTTTTTCGCTTTTACCATTGACCAGAGATAGAAGAGAAAATTTTATAACATCATTAAATGACAAGGTAGAATCTAGAACCCCAGAAAGACAACTTTTTTAAAAAAAAATATTTTTGTTAGTTGTAGGTGGACACAATACCTTTTATTTTATTTATTTTTATGGGGTGCTGAGGACTGAACCCAGGGTCTTACAGGTGCTATGCAAACACACTACCACTGAGCTATTACCCAGTCCTAGACACTTGTGTCTGTTGCTGCATGATGATAGCAGTGATGGATGTGAAGGAGTATCTCCTACATGCCAGCAGTGTACATG